TGATAGGCTCCGACCCGGTGTTTTACAGTCGCCCTGCCTGCTCGCCTGGGCTGAGTCACTCAGGTGTGGCCTGTCTCTGAGGCTTCCCGCAGGGGCCACAGAAGGACGAACCTGCTCTCTGGGGCCTTCCCAGGCAGTGACCAAACTGTCCACTCCATCCACACCTCCGTCCACAGCCTCTGCAGCCTTCTCTGGGCGACCCCACTTCTCTTGGGAGGGCTGGGGGGAGGGTTGGGGCACGTCCTCCCCCTCAGTGCCAGCCCCGGCCTCAGTGCTGGCTGCTCCCTCTCCCCACCTTCTCCTGGCCCAGAGGAAACTCAGACCGACGGGCTCGGCTCTGCTTCCCAGCCAGGGGCTCGAGCGGTGAAAGGCCTGCTTCCCTGTGAGGGACAGCCCCCAGGGAATCCTGTGCACAGACCTTACAGCTCACCACCTGGGGCCTGCAGTCTGAGTGAGACACTATTGACACCAAGGTAGCTGCTGCCAGCAACAGCAATGACGGTGCAGTCATCACACCATCTCCCACAGAGCCGTGCTCCTCTGAGAGGCCGGCCGCCCACCCAGTGCACACACTGGGCCCGGCGGCTGGCACGCGAAGCCCATGCTGGCACGTGGCCGGCTGGCAGGAGCCCCTCAGCTCCCACCCGGCTGGGTGCCCATTTGATGCCCGACAGTCACACTCAATAGCAAATCAGGTTCGGGTTTAGGTCGAGGGTATTGGGATGAAGCCGCCAGCACTCTGGGCTGTTTCACAACCTAATTATATGCTGCTTCCTGCAGTTGCTAAATGTCCAATTACAAGCGTTTGCTTGTGATACATCATTGAACCACAATTACAATAATTACGTCCCTGTGAAAAGGTCAATGAAGACGACCTCAGAGATGACCTGGGAGCTTGGGGGTTGGCAGGAACCTACCTGGGCGGTGGGGGTGTTTCCATGTCAGTGATAGGAAGCAAGACAGAAATGGTTTTCAAATGCCAAAAGAGAACATTTCCTGGGCATGTTTAGAAAAAACTTTTAACGCTTTTCAGGAAGTGCCCGGGTTCTGGGGGAGGAAGCCGATTCTCCAACCAGCAAACTCGGGTGACTGGCCATTTGAACAACAGAATGACCTCGAGACTGAACAGAAAACACCAGTGTGTACAGTGGTTGGGCCATGTGAGTGGTGCACAGCACTCACCCTGTGGGGAGCATACTGAGGCCTGGGGATAGAGCACCCCACATGGGGCCGCCAGCTCTGCCAAAGGCCAGGGTGGCACCTGGCACCAGCGTCGACACCTGTGCAGAGCCAAGGCCTATCTGCTGAGATAAGAAAGATCCCACCCACTTTGCAGGAATAGACTCAAACTTGGACCCTGACCCACAGCCTGTGGGAACCAGATCAGGGAGGGGCAGGTCGGAGCCCTGGCCCCATCCACCATCCTCAGGCCCTGCATGCACCCCGATGTGCAAAGGTTGGGAAAGGGTGCCCAGCCCCATAGACCTTGCTCCCCTGAGTCTCCTTCCTCAGGTGATGGCTTCTGCTGCACTTATAAAGACATTACTAGAGCCCTAACCAGTTTGGCTCAGGGGAGAGAGTGCTGGCCTGAGGACCAAAGGATCCCGGGTTCAATTCTGGTCAAGGGCACATGCCCAGGTTTGGGCTTGATTCCCAGTGGGGACAGTGTGGAGGGGCAGCCTCCTTCATGACTCACAGCCCCGCTCCCAACGATCACCCTGGCACTTGGGGGACTGAGAACACAGGGAGGCACCCACGTTTTGCTCAGATGTCCTGCTCCATTCCCACTACGGTGGGGGGTGAGGGTGGGCCCCTGGCCCCTTCTTGGTTTGACTAGGAGGAAGTCTCACTTGTAAGTGCCCCTCAGCTATCCGTGGACGATCACACCCCAGCTTCTCCTACCACCTGGGTGGGCCCCAGTTCGAACTGGCAAGGACCCTTTGGTTTGATAACCAGTCCCGCTGGATCTCTTTGTTCTGGGCTGGCCTGAGGTGGGGTGGTCGCCCTGCCAGGCAGTCTCAGACAGCCATGACCCACCTCATCCTTCAGGTGGCTTTGCAAGGCCAGGAGTGGGTGGCAGCCCCCAGCTTGCAGGTGCCTCCCCAGGAGCTGAGTGATGCTGGGGAAACCAGTTCTGCCACTGTAGCCACACCCTGCGGAGCTGTGCGGGCTGGCTAGCTGTTAGGAGGAGAGAAATCTGGAAATTCCTGCTTCTGGGACCTTCCAGGAGCCAGGGGGTAGATGTGTCCCCAGGAGGGAGGCCCTGTGGCAGACCAGGCCAGGCCCTTTCCTAGCAGCCTATCAGGTTCTTCCAAGGACATTGCCAGGCATACAGGCTGCCTTAGCTTTTATTTTCTAATTCACAGACTTAATTTTCGGGTTTACAGTGACAGTGAGCATCGTACAGGAGTTCCCATCTGTCCTCCCTCTTCCCCCGCCAAGTCCCCGTAATAAGGTCTGTGTTCCAGTCCATTAGCAATAGCGATACGTGTTTAACCCAAGGCATGTTCCGTGGGCTGTGACACGGGCGTGTCCTGTGGCCACCGCTGTGCTATCCTAGCTTTACGGACCTGGGCACAGGGGGTCTGGTCACCGCCCTGAGCTGGGGCATGGGAGCCAGTTCAGAGACATTCTCTCCCCTTTGGCCGTGGTCTCCGGGTGCTTTATAATATTAAATTTATTAAGGTGACATTGCTCATAGCATTGTTTAAATTTCAGGGGTGCACTATTATAATCTGTATTTGTGTGCCCACCACCTACAGTCTATTTCCTCCTGTCACCGTCTATTTGACCCTTCACCCAAGTCACCCCTGCCCCTCTGGAAACCACCATTCGTGGTCTGTGTCTACCAGTGTGTTCTGTTAGTTTGTTCATTACTTTTTGGTTTTATATCTCATCTATGAGTGAAATCATATGTGTTTTTTTTAATTTTTAATTTTTTTTATTGATTTCAGAGAGGAAGAGAGAGAGAGAGAGAGAGAGAGAGAGAGAGAGAGAGAGAGAGAGATCATGAAAAAGAATAATTGATCAGCTGCCTCCTGCATGCCCCATACTGGGGCTCGTGCCCGCAACCCGGGCATGTGCCCTGACAGGGAATCAAACGTGACTCCTGTTCATAGATCAATTCTCTATCCACTGAACCAAACTGACCAGGGCCTGTTTTTTGTGCTTATTTTACTTTGCATAATACCCTCAAGAGCCATCCGGCAGCTGAACCCTGAGCAGGTCACTCTGGCCAGCAGCGCTTATCTCTGCATGTGTCACATGGGGGTGCGTGTCTTACAGCTGCCTCCCCTTCACCTGTGTGAAGTCTCAGGCCCTCCAGACCTGGAGGCGGCATGTAGGGTCAGAGGCGCTGCCTTGAGGGCCTACACTCTTCCTGGGCACAGAGCTGGTCGCAGGTTCCAGAGTCTCAGCTCACAGCCTGGTGGTGGTCTCCCTTTGCCTGTTTCTCCAAGCACTTCGCACACTGGCTCTTACAGGGATGGGGCAGGGAACCCACATCTCAATGGGTGAGAGGCCTCCTGGGGTCCAGCCTCAAGCTGACCTTGGTCTCAGGGTGACATCACTGCTTGTGACTGGGCAGTGCCATCCCGGGGCTTGGGCTGGGAGGGTGGACCTACTCGGTTCCAGAGCTGCTCCAAACACCCTTTCCTGTAACTACTTTCCCGCCCTTGCCCAGCACTGCTGGGGATGCCCTGTCCCTGCCCCAGATGTTCACCTGCCCCGATGTTCACTCCAACCCAATCTGACTCCAACCTCAGGACAAGGATGCACTTCGCAAATCCACAGGCAGGTAGTGTCTCTCTCCTCCCCACCCCCCCTCACACACACACACACACACACACACACACACAAACACACACACTTGCTGCCACCTCTCCTCTCCCTCCCCCACAACTGGGTCACTGAAGTTCCTCCTGAACTGCATCTTGGCTGGAAAAGGGAGGCTAAAACAAGATCGGGTCTCTCCCCCACTTGATGCTGTTGGAGGCTCTGGAGCCCAGATCCACACCCAGGGTCCGAGGAAGCAGAAAAGCTGGCTTTTGTGATGACGGGAGTGGCTGCCTGGAGGCCAGGCCCTGCCTCTGCTGGGCAGACCCTCCTCCTCCTTCCTAGACCGGCTCTACTTTCCAGCACACCCCTTCCTGCAGGGGCTGGGGCTGCTTGTGCTCCAATGTCTTCCCCAAGAGATGCCAGGCCCCGGTGGCCCCAACGACCACCGGGCAAAGGAACCCGCTCTCCTCAGCTGTACTCGTCACGCGGCACCGCGGTGCCTCGGCCCATCACGCACTGAGCTCGAACGGCGCTGGTCCGAGGAGGTGCCTGAGCCCATCCCCCTCCGCAGGATTTGGGGGTAGTTTGTGGGGCTCAGGCTCCATCCGGTTCTTGGGCTCGTGGGGGAGGGAGGTCGGCTCCACGGGGTCTGTGGGTTTGCTGACCACAGGCCCGCTCCTGGGCATCCTGCGGGCACTCGTCCACTGGTCCCTCCTCCGGAGCCTGCTTCACCAAATTCCCACACAGCCAGGGCGCGGGTCGTCCTTTGCATGGTAGGGTTTTGCAGCATCCTGGCCCCTAAAGTCCAGATCCACCGTTTTCAGCCTTTTTCACCTCATGGTACACAAACTAGTTGTTAAAATTCTGTGGTACACTAAAAATATATTTTTTTGCCACTCTGACCAAAAAATAGGTATAGTTTTGGTTCATTTACATCAGGTGGCTACTGTGTTGGCTGTTGCCATTTTTAAATTGGACAATCTCAGAGAAAGGAGGTCATGGTCCCTGACTAAATAGGCAGGCATCGCATGTTTTAAACCTTGCCTCACCCTGAGACGCTGCTCTGCATCCCGCCCCCCGCCCCCCGCCCCCCGCCGGGACCAGGTGCCTGACTCCGGGCCGCAGCTCCCGGCGGCGGGGGGCGGGCTCCGGCGGGCGGGGCGGGGCGGACGGGGCGGGCGGCCCGCGGCACCGCCCCCAGCGGAGCCGGGACCGGGCTGCTGACTCGCCGGCTTCAGAGCTCGGGCGACGGCGCTGGCGCGGGGCTCCGGAGGCTCCAGCGGCTCCAGCTGCGCCAGCGGCTCCTGAGGCGCCAGCGGCCGCGATGCGCGGGCGGCCACGCCGGGGGCGCGGGAGGCGCGCGACGTGACGCCCGGACCCGGAGCCGGAGCCCGGCCGCGAGTGGAGGGTCTGCGGGGCGGGAGCGGAGCATGCGGGGCGCGGCGCGGGCGGCCGGGGGGCGCGCGGGGCGGCCGAGGCCAGGGCCCCAGTCCTCGTCCCCGTCCCCGCCGCCCCCGTCCCCGCCGGCCCTGCCGCCGCCGGCCCTGCTGCTCCTGGCCGCGCTCCTGGCCGCGCTCCTGGGCGGCGCGGGCGCGCAGTACTCGAGCGACCTGTGCAGCTGGACCGGGAGGTGAGTCCCCGCTCGTGGTCCGCGCCCCTCCCCTCCCTGCCCGCGGGCAGAGCGCGGAGGGCTGGGTCCCTCCCGGCGGAGCGCTGCCCCCTCTGCGGCCGCAGAACAAAAGGGCCCGCGGCGTCCGGGTCCGGGTCCGAGGACGCCCGGAGGCGCTGGCTGCGCTGGGTCCGTCCGGGCCGGCCCCCTGCTCGCCCCGCGCCCTGTCGCGCCGGCTCCACGCGGGCCCCCCGGCCTCGCCGCCGGGCGCGGGCGGGATGGGCCCGTGGAGGGGCCGGGCTGCGCCGGGGCCGACCGGGCTGGGACGGCGGGCCGCGGAGGGGGCGGCGGCCAGAGCGGGACCGTGGCCGCAGCGCTGACCGGTCCGCGCGGGGGAGACTGGGTGCGGGTCCGGGGCGGACCTGGACGGCCCCGCCTCCGTGAAGGTCAGGCCGCCCTTGGCCGCGCGCCGGGCCGGCGACCCCCTCCCTTCCCGGCCCCTCCGCGGCGGCGCGGACCCCGGAGAGAACGGCGTGGCCGCCGCGGGGAGCGGGCGCGGCCGCCCGAGGGAAACGCCGCCCCGGGCCCGTCCCCGTCCCGCTGGCAGCTCCGGGGGAGCCGTCCCGCGCCCCGAACTCCACTCGGGCGTTTGGGCGGGGGGGCGCGTGTCTCCTCCGAACGCCGCGGGCCGGGCGGCTGGGCCGGGTTCCGGGTCCGGGAGCAGCGCCCCGGCTAGCCCGCCGCAGACGCTCCCCGGGGTCCGGGTCCGGGTCCGGGAGCAGCGCCCCGGCCAGCCCTGCCGCAGACGCTCCCGCGGGGCTGGGGTCCGAGTCCGGGTCCGGGTCCGGGAGCGGGAGCAGCCCCGGCCAGCCCCGCCGCAGACGCTCCCCCGGGGCCGGGGTTTGGGGTCCTGGGTCCGGGGCCGGGAGCAGCCCCGGCCAGCCCCGCTGCAGACGCTCCCGCGGGCGGGCGGGAGGTCACGGGATCGCTGGGGGTGAGACGGCTTTCCGAGGAGGAGGGGCTGTGCCCGCGCCCTGGCCTCTGTGTCCGGGCGCCCAGGTCATCGCGGCGCTGCAGACCGGCTCTTCGTGGACGCTGGCGATGACCCGGCCATGACCCCGCCTAGACCGGAGGTCTGGGCCCCGAGGTTGCCCGATCCGCGCCGCGCACATGGGATCAGGGATAGAGGAGCCGCGCCTGGACCGGAGTGGAGGGCAGGTGGCTCTGGGGAGGGTTGGCGTGGAGATTGCTGGCGCCATCCCGACCTCTCCGACCCCTCCGCTGGGGCAGCACCTGCCCCTGCGCTGCCCCTGCCCCTGCCCCTGCCCCTGCCCCTGCCTCTGCCAGGAATTAAACTCCCTGCTCGCAGCCTCTCCAGAATGAATCAGGGCAAGGAGGCCTGGTGGGACTGGGTTCCTGCTTTGCACAGATCCAAAGCAGGAACCCAGTCCCACCTCGTGAGCCCGAGTTTCCCAAGAAGGAGCAAACACCCTCTCCAGCGTCTGGGAGGACTGTCTGCATGGAGGGCTGAGCCCTGAGGCCTCTGTAGGGTGTGGGTGGGGTGGGGGGCAACCAGCTCCTAGAGGTGTTTGCAGAGGGAAGAGGATTCCCTTCACCTTTTATCACCTGGAGAAGGTGGGACTCTTCTCTGAGCCTCCTTCACTGCTAATGCACACACACACACACACACACACACACAACACTCCCACCAGGCCCCGTAGCCATTGGGGGGCTGTGGGGGGAGCAGCCAGGTCACATTCCTGGCCATAGCCTCAGTGGAGCTGTGACTGCACCCCCAGTGATCATGCTGCTCGCTGGGAGCCAGGGTGCGGTTTGCCTGCGGACTGGAGCCTTCGGGAGTTTTATGAGTCTCTGTAAAGACACCCCCCCCACCATGGGGTGATTCTGACCCCTGATAGGGAGGGAGTTGCTCTTTATGACACACGTTTCTGGGTGTTCCCAAGCAGTTAAGTAGGCTTGGGTTTGTCTTTTTTAAAATTGATTTTGAGAGAAGGGAGAGAGAGAGAGGAATATGAATGTGTTAGTCCATTGACTGATGCACGCATTGCTTGATTCTTTATGTGCCCCTGCCAGGGATTGAACCCACAACCTTGGCGTGTCTGGACAACACTAACCCTGAGCTAAGGGGTGGTGTTGAAGCCCGTCGCCCATGCCCTCGGACAGGACAGGGCCCCGTCGGCATTGCACCTGGTCCTGAAGGTGGACCGCTGCCCGGGGCAGGGCGCTGACCTGCGTCACACCTGGGCTGTCTGTCTCTCCCGCCTTGGGCTTGGCCTGAAACTCTTCTTTCTTCGTAAACAAGAGGCCAGCGTTTCCTCCCGGTGACTCAGGGTCTGCGCCTGTCCGCTGGGGGGAGACGGGTGTGGGCTCTGCTGCCACCACACTGCTGACCCCATTGGAAAATCCCGCATCCACGGGGAGCCTGCTGTCTTTCCCACAAAGGTGCTCACCAGGTGTGGGGCAGTGACACTTGCCAGCTCTTTTTTTTTAAGGACCAAGGCATTGACTTGGTTTAAGTACTCCAAGATCAAACCAGTCTTCTCCTTCCCTTAGCTGAGTAGCGCTACAGTTTTCTCTGTATCCTGCCGCTTCATCACATCAGAAAACAGTTGCTTTACGGGGTGGGGCTGGTTAGATGTCATGTGAATATTGCTACAAACCATCATCGGTGAATATTCAGGCATAGTGTGTTTTTCCATAAATAGAGGGTTTTTAAAAAATATATTTTTTATTGATTTTTTACAGAGAGGAAGGGAGAGGGACAGAGAGCCAGAAACATTGACGAGAGAGAAACATCGATCAGCTGCCTCCTGCAAACCTGCCCCCCCCCCCCCCCCCCCGGGAATGTGCCCGCAACCAAGGTACATGCTATTGACCAGAATCGAACCTGGGACCTTTCAGTCCGCAGGCGGATGCTCTATCCGCTGAGCCAAACCAGTTTCGGCTAAATAAAAGTTTTTTTTTCTTCCGGGTTTGCTGCGGCACTGGAAGCTTAGAAGTGGGTGACGTGGCTCTTTCCTGGTAGGAACCAGACAGGCCAGGAGTCCTTGTCCTCGTTCAAAGAATCAGCGGGCTGGCGGGGCTCGGCTCAGTGTTTGAATGTCAACCTATGAAACAGGAGGTCACGGTTTGATTCCCGGTCAGGGCACAGGCCCAGGTTGCGGGTTCCATCCCCAGTGTGGGGCTTGCAGGAGGCAGCCGATCAATGAGTCTCTCTCATCATTGATCCCCCCCCCCCCCCCCCCTCTCTCTCTCTCTCTCTCTCTCTCTCTCTCTCTCGGTTCTTCACTCCCTCAACCCCGAGGGCCCCGTTTGCCCCACTGACAGGGAAGGAGAGCCTCAGGCAGAGTGGTTTTTGTGGGAGAGAGGATTGGGAATGGGCGCCTGGGCTCAGGGCAAGGGTTCAGCTACCCCTCGCGGGGAGGAAACCCGGAGAGGAGGGGCACTCTGGTGAAGTTTGTTTTGGCTGCGTAAGAGCAGGGCTGATTATAATGATCCGTGGCAGCCACTTACCATTTAGTCTAATTTTTCACCCAGCATATAATTACGCCCACTCCCACCTGTGTGTCACGTGGGCCTGTGTGCGTTTTATGTGACTGTAATTTGTTCGTCAGTTCCGTGTGTGCAGCCCTGGTAGGCGTCTGAGGCCAGGCTGGCGGCTCCTGACCCCGGGCGTGTGGGGTTGGGAGGATTCACCTCCCGGCACCTCCCTCTGATGTGGCCTGCAGAGTGCCTGCAAGCCGCGGGCCGGCCTGTGGAAAGTGAGGGTTTTGGGAGCCGGGAGCATGAGTCACCCACAGTAAATGCAAACCATATGTGCTGTGTTTTCTGCTCGGCAGAAAGGGTTTCTGGTAACGCACTGGGGCCGGGGCTCTGAGTGGAGCTTTGTTTATGCCAAGTAAAAATCCCAGGAATGTGGGTGAACCTGTCCGAGAGCTGATCGGAACCAAATTTCATGGAACAGAACGCAGCCCAGGCACTGGCGGAGCTCCAGGGCGCATGGTGGCTGTGACGTAGCCGTGTGTGCGCACGCTGACACTGACATTGAGTCTGGAGTAGGGGAGAGAAGCCGTAGCGTTGTTGATGGTTTCAGTTTCTTGAAACCTGACGTGATGACTTCACGGAGACCTGTCTCCGGGAGAGCATGGCGCCGGAGCTTCACTCTTCTGCTCAGATTCCTGGGGAGGGAATCGAACGCCGTTCTCTAGACATTCCCTGGGGAAGACGCGGTGTCTGCCACCCTTTGGCTTCTCCACACTTTTCTCCCCAAGTCTGTCCCTGGAGAGAACCTTAACTGTACTTTCATATCTTTGATGCCATTTGAGTTCATTTTTTAAAATATGGTGACCAATGGAAGGTCTTCAGGTTTGCAAATGAGTGAAAAAGCAGTCAAATATCACCATAAGGAAATATAAAAAGTATGCCTGCCGGTGAGGCTCTATGAAAACTATCGATAGATCCCCAAATGGCTAACATTCCTCATTGATTCCTAAGCTGCTCCCTGGAGGGAGCGAGTTGCGTGTGTGCTTCCCGGTACCTCCAGAGGCCTCCTGTCCTTCATGCTCAGGGGGAACATGTGGGCTGGTGCCAGAGTTGTCCTGGTGTTTCCTTTTTTAAAAATATTTTTTTATTGATTTCAGAGAGGAAGGAAAAAGGGGAGAGAGAGAGAGAGAGAGAGAGAGAGAGAGAGAGAGAGAGAGAGAGAGAAACATTAAAGATGAGTCAGAATCATTGATCAGCTTCCTCCTGCACGCCCCCTGACCCCCACCCTTCAGTCCACATGCCAATACTCTATCCACAGAGTCAAGCCAGCTAAGGCCTCCTGGTGTTCCCTTGCTTGTGTTTTGGAAGATCTGTCCTTTCCCTGGTTTTCACCTGCACGGGGGCACCTGCAGCTGCAGCCCGGCAGGCCAGCCATACTGAATGTCAGGGGGTGGGGGTGGGGGTGTCCTAGGGGGGCTTGCTGCCCTCCCTGGGAGCAGCCAGTGCTGGAGGAGACGTCAGGGTGTGGGGCAGGGGGTGAGGGGTGGGGGAGGGCCTGGGGGCGCTGGCTGCCCCTCCCCTGGAGCAGCCAGTGCTGGAGGGGACATGGTGCAGGTGAGCGGGTGGAGCTGGCTGACCTGTCCCCTCTCCACAGCGGGCTGACCCACGAGGCGCACCGGAAGGAGGTGGAGCAGGTGTACCTGCGCTGCTCTGCGGGCGCCGTGGAGTGGATGTACCCAACGGGCGCCCTCAGCGTCAACCTGCGCCCCAACGTCGTCTCGCCCTCCCGCCCCCTGACCCTGTGCGTCAAGCTCCTCGGGGACTCCTCGGGGGCCAATATTTATCTGGAGAAGACGGGAGCGCTGCAGCTGCTCTTCCGGGACGGGGACCGCGGGCCCGGCCAGGTGCGCTGCGTCGGCTTCGAGCAGGGCGGCCTGTTCGTGGAGGCCACGCCCCAGCAGGACATCCGCCGGCGGACCGCGGGCTTCCAGTACGAGCTGAGCAGCCGGCACGCCGGCTCGGACCTGCACGCTCCGTCAGGTGGGTGATGCCGGGGTTGGTGGGTGGGCTTCCCACCACCCCCTCCTCAGCCCAGGTCCTTCTCCTGTGCCAGACTTCTCTGGCTTTCTCCTGCCCCCCTCAGCACAGCCTCCGGGAGCTCCCCAGGTGGGCCTCAGACTGGGGGAGGCAGGGGCTCCACAATGCCAGCGGACAGGCCCTCCTGGGGGGTGTCTGCAGTCGTGGTGTTGCATGTAGGTGCAGTACCTGCGTTCTGGAGTGTGTGTTTGGACTCTGCAAGACATTCATCTCCCAGGGGTGTGTGTGTGGAGGGTAACAGACGTCCTGAGAGGGGCCGGAGGTCAGAGCTGTGACGGGCCCTGATCCCTCGTGTGCTCTTCTCCCGTGGACTGGTCGTGACTCGTTGGAAGTGGGTGCTATTGCCATTCAAAAATGGTCCCAGCATTTCCTCTGGTGCAGCCCCCGGAATATCGAGTCTTGGGTGGGAATTGGGGCTGATCCACATCCAAGGTGGAAAGTGGTGACATCCTGAGTCCTGGGCCAGTCCTGGGTCTGGAGGAGTCTTGTGGGTGCATGCCTGTGAGATCCCAGCAACATGCCAGAGTGGCGGCCACCTGCAGGCAGGAGCTGGGTGATCTGGGAGCCCAGGCCGGTCTGGAGAGGCCTCCGGGGCTGAGGGTGTGTGTGCTCACGTGGGAAGCTGGTGAGCTGGCGTTAGGTTTCCATCCCTTCTCTGCCAGGCGCTGGATGGAGGCAGGGTGGCCTTGGAAAGTTTCGTGGACAGAGACGGAGGAGGAGCCCAAGACCCCAAGATGCTCACATAGGGCAGGTCCCCCACCCCGGGGGCTAGGCCCCCCTCCCTCTGAGAGGCACAGAGGATGACAGTGTCTGTGTGTGGATGATGTTTAGGGTAGGGCCGCCAGGCTTCTGGGTGCACCATCTGTGTCAATCCCAGGAGCAAGATGCCTTTCGGGGTGTGTGCACGCGTGTGCCTGTGTGTGTACATGTGTGCATGTGCGTGTGCTGTCCTGGGAGCTGTTTTCTTGGTGACCAGCTGGGATGATGGTCAGGTGGGGGTGCTGGGGCCTTGCCGGGTGGGGGCCAGGCCCATACACTGTTAACACCCCACAGTGAGAGGACGCCCCAACATGGAGAGTCACATGGCCCCAAGTGGCAGCGAGGGCCATGGGACAGACTCTGAGGCACCCAGGGCTCGGGGAGCTGTGGAGATCGGGGCGTCTTCTCTGCCTGGAGTGTTCGCCTTTCATCTTTCATCGGGGCACGGCCCCTAAGCCTTTAATGCCGGAGGAATGGGTGTGAAATGCGGAATGTCGGCGCTGGCCATCTGGCGGCCGTGATGTCCTTGGCCAGGCGGGCTCTGGGAAGAGAGCATGGCTGCCGGCTCCGTCCCGCTCTGGCCCTGGCTGCCCAAGGCCTCGGTGACCCCAGAGCCCATGGATGCACCTGGGAGTGAGCACCTGCCTTCTCCCCCTGATGAGCCGCGAGGGACCGGCTCCTGGCTGCATCCTGGCTGGTGTGAGCTGCTGCCCCGCAGCTCTGACTGGTCGGCTGGGAGCGTTTGCAGCATGTGCTGGCCCTCTGGCCACTGGGGCTGTGCAGTCAGCTTCCTTGGTGAACGGAGAAGCACCACGAGCCAAGAAGGGAGAGGCAGGCAGCCTGGGACAGGTGCAGACGGCGGGCAGTGGGAGGGGACCCCAGCCCAGGGGGAGGGGGATTTGGCTGCCACAGGCTCCCTGTGCACCCCCAACTCCCACTGCCTCTGTGGGCCTCGCCAGGGCACCCGAGGAACATGGACACCCTTTCCATGGCACTGAGCCCATCTGGCAGGACATGAAAGGCAGGGAGCAGCCAGATGCAGCTCTGGGCCATGCCGGGAACATCGGTTGGGGTCTTGGGTCAGAACCTGGCCTGGCTTCGGGGGGGACTGTCCTCCCCCGGGGTCCCAGCACTCAAGGAAACAGGCACTCCAGGACTTGCCATCACCGAGTGGGCTGGTGGGTGACCAGCCAGGGAGGGAAGGGTTCACTGTGTCAGGCACTGGGGAACCAAGACAGGCCTTGTGTCCCGGTTTGTGTGGGGCAGCCCTGGTGGGCCCCAGATTCCAGTCTGGCTTTTTGACTGGTTGGGGGCCGAGGAGCAGAGCTCACCACTGGGGCACATCCATGCTCTGGGCTCCTGGGACATCCACCTACAGCATCCCACCCCTGGGAGCAGACAAGTGGGAGGGAGGGGGGGAGACAGTGGAATTTCAGATCCACAGCTGGAGGGTGGGCAGAAGCCCACGACCCTCGAGCTGCTGTGAACACATGGAAATCGCTCCATCACAGGGGTCATCAGAGGCGGGGGGCAGCCCTGGTCCCCCAGGTTTGATGGGCCTCATCTCCCGTCCCCTGTAATACCCGCTGTGTTTGATGAGCTGGGGGCAGATGATTCCTGAGGTGGTCCCAGGGGTGCAGAGGCCCCTGCTGAGGGGCCCTCTCAGGCACCTCAGCATTTGGGGGTGGTCTTGATGGCTGTGGGGGCGAGTGGCAAAGTTCAGAAGGAGTGTGAAGAAACCTCAGTCTTGCCGGGAAACAGGAAAGGAGAAAACTTGGTATTTTTGCAAGGATCATTTATTTCCTGCCTCGGCGGCTTCGCTGGCCTCTGTAATTATTGTGTAATTTTTTTCGCCTTGCCCATTTGGGGTGGAAGGGTGTGGCCTTCCTGGCGAGGAAGAGGTCGGGAGAGAGCAGGACAGGAGGAGGTGGCCAGCTGGGACCCTGGCGGGGTCATCTGGGGCCTGGGTTGTGTGACCTCAGAGGTGGAGGTGGTTGATCATTGGAGGCGGCTCCAGAGCCTCTGCCTGCAGCTCAGTGCCTGCTTGGTCTCCGTGAATGCAGACCCCGCTCCTGCCGCGCTCACCACATTCCGGTTTCTCCCTTCTCCTCACTCCCTGCTACTCCCTGGTGGCCCGCCTGCCACCAGCTGACCCGCTGGGTGCCCTTACAGACGGTTTTCTCTCCAGAAATTGTGTTTGTCCACCCGGTTGTCCTTATGCGGGCAGACGGGACTAGGGTCCATCTGACCATCTCCAAGCCCCTCGGGGTGGCAAGGTCCTGACAGAAGGCACCACCCGCCCCCTCCCTCCTGTGCCTGCTGCCTCACCTGGGCCCCTGCATGGCCCTGGCCTGTCTCCCAGACCCTGTTATTTTTTCCTTCGTTGAGTTCATTTTATGCCCATTCCGGAGTAACACCCCAGCCCTCCCCTCTCCATGAGCACGGCCGGCATTCCAACCAGCCCCCTGGCGGCCCCTCCCGCCGGCTCCCCGTAAGGAAAGAAGATTGGATGTGCCTGAGACCAGTGCACTCCACAGCCCTTGTGAGCCCGGCTGCGATTAATAATTGTTTCCAGATTGCTTCTCTTGGCGTCCGCAGGCTGGGTTTCCACAAAGGTGACCTCTGCTTTGTGTGCAGCTCACAGTTGTAGGAGGGAAGTCTCCAGGGTGACGCTTTATTAGCTCAGCTGTCGATAGTATCGGCTCATCGGGGCTTTTCAGGGCTGCCGACCCCCTTCCCCCGGGCTACCGGGTGCCCACACCTTCTGCAGTGAGGCTGGGAGTGAGCCAGGGAGGCTAGTGTCCACCTCTGTCCTCAGCCCTCGGCCGAGGACCCTGGGCCCGTGACCCTTGGAGAGGGCACAGCTCTAGGCTGGGTCGCACGCGCCCAGGCCTGGGGTCTGATCACAGCCTGTAGCCTGCCCCCCCTCCCCCCCAACTGCTGCCTCTGGAGTGGTCCCCTGGCCTAGCTCAGCTGGCTGGATCCTCACCTCCCACCCACCTGCTGCACCCACTGCACACCTAGCTGCTGAGGGGAACCTGCCTTCTCCTGGGGAGAGCTGCCAGGCCGGCACCCACCTGCAGAGGGACCCCAGGCTGGGGCCGCTGATCCCATGGGCACTGGGTGTGCCAGCCAGGACGGGAAGTCACCGCTGCTCCCCGCCTCTTGCTCACAAGGCAGAACAAGAGCCCGCAGAGCCGGCCGTGCCACGTGCCCCTTCGTCATCACGCCCACCGTGCGGCTCCATCGGGTGCAGCGTGGGCAGCAGGTCCCAGTGGGTGAGAGGGAGGAGGGGCCCCCAGCTGGTCACCATCTTTTTAAAAAATCCTCACCCAAAGATATGTTTTTATTCATTTTAGAAAGAGAGGAAGGGAGAAAGAGAAAGAGAGAGAGACATGGATGCCAGAGAGAAATACCTATTGATTGCCTTCTTTATGTGCCTACCCCGCCCTGCTGGGATTGAACCCGCAACCTTTTGGTGTATAGGACAGCACTCCAACCACCAGAGCCACCTGCCAGGGCTCGCCACCCCCTTTGTTAGGCTGGGGTCCACTCCTGCAGGCCGAGGCTGCAGGCAGGCAAAGGCTTGGGGTTCAGAGCTGGGTGGGGAGGTGCCTGCCTAGATGCTGGGTGGACTCGGCTTCCACCCCATTCATTTAACAGGCTGTTCTTGCTCTGCAGCTCCCGGTAACTTCACAGGAGCGGGCGGTGGGGTGCGGGGGAGGGGTGGTGAGTCAGGCCTCACTGAGCTGCACTGGAACGCTGCACCCACACTGCCCGCAGGCAGGACGGCGGCACCAGCGCTCTGGATGCTCCCGTCCACCCCAGGCACCCCAGAGGCCCTGTGTGCCGGGCCCCATGGCCACGCACATCCTGGCCCTGGAGGCCTCTCTGCTGCTGCTCGTCTGTGCCTTGCCTGGTCCCCACGGGCCCCGAGGCACTGCTGCTCCTGGGGGGTGGGGTGGGGTGGGGTCAGGCAGCCCCTGGGCAGGGTTCCCAGGCTACCGGGTGCCCACACCTTCTGCAATGGGGCAAGGTCAGCCAGCCCGGCACCCAGACAGGATTAGTGCTGTCCAGGCCAGTGAGTGCCGAGGCCAGGGGCATCCTGAGGCCTTTAGAACAGGAAAGGGTCACATGGAGTTAGGAGAATTTGTGCAAAAACTTAGAGACTCAGAACAGGCGAGGGAGAGGCCTTGAGAGGAGTAATGTGGAGTCAAGTAATAAACTGTATTTTCCCACATCCACCCCTGGGTAAAGGAGTGTGTGGTCCTGGGGAAGCGCCAGAGCCCAGGTTTCTGCCTCCCCCACGCCCACCTTTCTGAGACCCTGTGCCACCTGAGAGGAGCGGGCTTCCTGTAAGGCCCGTCTGGCTCTGGGAAGCCAGCAGCAACCCCCCCACCCCCCCCCCGTAGGGTTTCAGGGAACTCAGGATTCTGAGACTGGGCTGCTCTGAAGGCGCTTGGGTGTTCAGAGGGGTCACTGGGCTCCAGGCCAGGTGGGGGCTGGGGAAGGGGCGTTAGAAGGGTCCCAGGGCCTCATTGTTCACGATGCCTTTCCTAGGCGTACCGGCTAAGAATGCGGGTTTTATTTCACCGGATGGTTATACATATGTTGATATATATGCAATTTGATACGTGTGCTATTCTGTGGTGTTGCTCCTTCAGTTACCACTTGTTCCGATCGATGGCACATGCACTTTCTGAGCAGCACTTCAAAACATACGAAGAAGTGGACAATTGGGTCTCTGAATGGCCTCAAAACAAGAAAAGTTCTATTGGGAACTTTTGTATTCACAAATTACCTGAAAGATGGGGGAAATGTGTAGCTAGAGATAGACGTTATTTTGAATAAAGCACTTTTGATGTTTCTCTTAAAGTTATTGGTTTTCTTTGATTACAAAATTTGCATTATGGTTAATAATGCAGATTAACTATTAACCTGTTAATAATATGGATTAACTATTAACTGGTTAATAATGTGGATTAATAATTAACCAGCTAAAATTCAGAATAATTATTAACCAGTTAATAGTGCATATTAACTATTAACCGGTTAATAATGCGAATTTTGTGATCCAAAGAAAACAGGATAATTTCAAGAAAAACATCAAAAGTGCTTTATTCAAAGTAACATCCATCGCTAGCTACCCATTTTCCCCATCTTTCAGGTAATTTGTGGATACTGCCCCAATAGAACTTTTCTTGTTTTGAGGCAGACCATTCAGAGACCCAATTGTCCACTTCTTCGTACTGGTTTTGAAGTGTGTGGTGGTGCGTTATCATGAAGCAAAATTATTTTGTCTTCTGGCCCATCTGGTCATTCTATGATCAAAGCATGGTTCAAATTGATTATTTATTGTCGGTAGGGATCAGTATTAATGGTTTCACCTGGTTTTAGAAGCTCTTAATACACCACAACTTCCTGATCCCACCAAATGCAGAGCATTGTCTTTTTTCCCAAGCGATTTGGCCTTGCAGTCGATGTTGATGGTTGATCTGGATTAATCCATGATTTTGTGTGTTTGGGATTCTCAGAATAAATCCACTTTTCATTGCCAGTCATAATTTGATGCAAGAAAGACTTTCTTTCATGCAATTGAAGCAACATTTTACTGATGACTTTTCAGTTTTCCATTTGTCTTTTGTTCAGTTGATGTGGCACCCATTTTCCTTCCTTTAAAATCTTTCCCATTGCTTGTAAACGTTGGGAAATTGTTTGCTGAGCAATGTTTAACCTTTCTTCAGGTAGTTTGATATGCATCTTCATCCAATAATGCTTGTTGGTCTTCAAACTTTTATGGTTGACCTGTACGTTTTTTGTCTTTCACATCGAAATCATCGTTTTAAACCAGCGTTCACAAGTGTCTTGAGATGGAGCATGTTCACCATAAGCTTCCCAAAGTATACGTTAACTTTCAGCAGCACTTTTCTTCAAAATAATAAATTAAAACTTCCCGAAAATGCTCTTTTTTTTTGGGCACGATATTCGTCATTTTTAAGGGTAAAAATATCTATGATGTTAACACCTTCAGAAAATTTGACATATCAATCTATGCATAACTCCCATCTATTGAAAAAAATCTGCATTATTAACCGGTACACCAAGTAGGCTGTGGCCTCGTGGGTCCTCCCAGGCAGAATCTTGACTAGTGGAATGGAGGTGGCAGGGGGCCGTGGAGGAGCAGGCGCGTGTGAGTGGGCAGCCCTGGCATTCCGGGGAGTGGCTGCGGAGATGGAGTGATGGTAGCCTGGCTGGGCGGGCGGAAGGACAGGCTTTGCTCAGCGCGTGCTGGTCCGCGTTGGTGTTGGGCACAGAAGGATTTCACCGAGTCCAGTAGCTGCTCGTGGGGCACAGCTGCTCTGACCACTGAGTCATGAGGGTGCAGTCACTGGGTGGTGGGCCTGGGGTCCCTGTAGTCAGCCCCCAGCCCGCACATTGAGGCCGTGGTGTGACTGTGGCACTGGGGGTCATAGAGGCACTGCTGGAATCAGAGCACCTTTGGGGTGTCATCCAGTGTGGAGGGGCCCCGCCGTGGGGAAGGATGCACGTCCATGCCCTGCCTGATGCACCCCACCCGCCCCTCTGCTCTCTCCTGCAGCTCCCTGCCGGCCCTGCAGCGACACCGAGGTGCTCCTGGCAGTCTGCACCAGTGACTTTGGTGAGTGCCCTGGTTCCCGCTGCGGGGAGGGTGCCCCACCTGGCCCCAGAGAACCTTCTGGCACTGGCTCCAACCTCTGCAGGGAGGAAGCTGTGAGGCCCCAGGGCTCAGCACTCCTCTTACATGGTCCACGCCCGCCCGCGTGACTCCAGCCCCAGGGAAGGGACCTTGGGCAGGGCAGGGAGAGGGCTGGGAATTCCTGTTATTGAAGGTGATCAAGGGGCTTTGTCCCACTTTGCACACGACGACGACGACGACGACGACGTCATCGCTCTGGAAGCCTCACCTCAGAGTCTCCCCCTCCGCCAGGCCCCCCGAAGGGGCCACAGTGGGAGTTTCAGGTCCTGGTAGGACCTAGGGCTGAGGCCAGGCACTCAGCTCAGGCAGAGGATGGCAGCTGGCACAGCTGGGCGAACTGAGCCCCAAGCCCAAGGGCAGCCACCCGAGGGCAGGTTCCTGTGGAACCAGAGGCTTCTGACTGGGCCCACAAGGGTAGACCTCTCTCTGTCCTCCCTCATCCTCCGCCCCTCAGTGTCACCCTCTCCAGTCTCGATGCAGATCTTGTGCATGAACTCTCGTTACTGTTCTTGTCCCAACTTGAACCTCTGACGCACCGAGTGGTTTGTTTCTTCCACGTTCTCCCACATGTGTGGCTGGGCCTCCCACCCGTGACAGAGCTGAGTGCTGGGACCACTCCAGGCAGCCTCACGCCCAGAAGCTGCCCTTTCTTTTTTTAAATCCTCACTGAGGATATTTCCATTGGTTTTTAGAGAGAGTGGAAGAGAGGGAAAGACAGAGGGACATGTCAGTGTGAGAGAAACAGGTCGATTGGTCGCCTCCTGCATGTGCCCCAAACAGGGCCTGGGCTGGAGAAGAGCCTGCAACCGGGCATGTGTCCTTGACCAGAATGGAACCGGGACCCCGTGGTCCACAGGCCAACAACGCTCTGGCCACTGAGCCACACCGGCTAGGGCAGGAGTTGTCTCTTTAAGGAGGATCCCTGGGCTGCAGAGGCCAGGAGCGGCTTTCATCCCAGGGCCTGCTCACACCGAATGGCAGCATGTGTCTGCTCAGCGGGCATCCTACCCCCTCCCTGGCCCGGCCCCTGCCCACCTCACCGGCCCGGCCCCCACCCCCCTCCCTGACCCCACTGACCCGTGTCCTCCCCTCCGCAGTGGTCCGAGGAGCCATCCAGGACGTCACCCACGCCCCTGAGCGGCAGGAGTCGGCCATCCACCTGCGCGTGAGCCACGTCTACCGGCAGAAGGGCCGGGTGTTCCGCGCGGCGCCCGGCGGCGGCTGGCGGGGCCGCGTGGCCACACTGCTGGCCTGCGGCGTGCGGCCTGGGCGCGGCGAGTTCCTCTTCACCGGGCACCTGCGCTTCGGGGAGGCCCAGCTGGGCTGCGCCCCACGCCTGGAGGACTTCCGGCGGGTGTACCGGGACGCGGAGGCGCAGGGCCTGAACCCCTGCGAGATGCCCGTGGACTGACCGCGGGGTGGCCGCAGGGGACCCAGCGATCGGGGTGGACGCCGGGCGACCGTGTGTGGAGTTCCGGCCAAGGAGACCCCAACCGATCGGTTGGAAATGCTGTAAAGTGCAAACTAAGTTATTATATTTTTTTAAAAAAAAACACAATGTGTTCGTGGGAGACGCTCCGTGCCTCTGTGCGCCGCTGCCTGTGGTTTTCCAGAGATGCCAGCTCACTGCGTTTGACTGGTGTCTGGGGGCCGGGCGCAGGCGAACCCAGCACCAGGCTTTGTGCAGAGCTTGCCTACTGTTCACCGTGTTCCTTTCCACGCAGATCTCTGGAGCCAAATACTTGTCATTGTTTTCACTTGGTTTTTGCCTTTTAAAGAACGTGGTTTGCCGGCCTAGCTCATGTGGGGCTGCCCCGGCCTCCCTCCCGGGAATCGGTGCCCCCACCTGATGGGCGATGGCACAGCCGGGGCCAGGCTGGTGCCCAGGTGCTGAGCTGGGTGCTGACAGAGCTTCTCCTGGGAGCCCCAGGGCCCTGGCATCAGGGCTTCCGAGGGCCCCACTAACTGCCCCGTTACCCCTACTCTGCAGGGTGCGCTGGTCTCAGCCAGATGCCTCCTCCTCCTTCCTGTTAACCCAACTTCCCCCAGATGCCCCAGCCCACAGCAAGCCTCTGGACACCCAGGGGCTGGGCAGGGCTGGGATCAGTGACCCCATATCCTTACGGATGAGAGTGTCCTATAGCTGCCATAACAAGTGACCACAGCAGGGGCTTCAACCCCACATTCTCTGAGGCCAGGGCGGCTGGCGCCCCTCTCGGCTTGAGGGAAGGAGTCTACTTGTGTCTCCCGGCTGCTAGTGGCTGCACAGTCCTGGGTGTCCCAACCTCCCCTGTGTCATCTCCCTTGGTGGCCTGTGTCTCCGTTTCCCTCTCTTAGGACACCGGTCAGTAGATGAGGGCTCAGTCATCTCAATGTGATCACACCTGAAAAAACCCATTTCCAGTTGAGTTCACATTCACAATTTCTGATAGATGTGAATTTTGGGGACACTATGTACCCAGCTGGTGTCAAATAGCCAGGCCTGGGCCAATGTCTTCAGATATGAATCAGGTGATGTCTCAGTGGCTGTGAGACCGAAAGACAACCCAGGAGAGGCCCACATTGGTCCGTGAGCATCATGTTGGCTGCACTGAAGACGCACCGAGTGGCCACAGGTAGATGCATTGTGCCAGGCCAGGTATGCTCTGGCCCAGATGTGAGCTGACACGTGTGTGCACCGGCTAACACGTATACAGACAGGTGGGCCCTGGCCTGGGTGTGTGCTGGCACAGGTCTGTGAGCCAACACAGGTGTCACCAGCTCACATGTATAGGACAGGTGGGCCCTGGCTCAGGCGTGTTCTGACAGATGTCTGACCCAGGTGTGCTGGCACAGGTCTGAGCTCCTGCAGGTCACAACAAGAAGCAGGTGCTCAGCACCTGCACCACAAGCACAGGGTGCTGGCCTGACGCCGCCTGTTGGTGACAGGAACAGGTCCTCCTGTGGCCCATAGCTGGCGGGCTTTGACCAGAGGATGTGTGACAGCAGCACAGGGACACAGACCTGCTCCTGGGCTGTGCGGCTTCTGCGCTGGCTCAGCTCCTCTGACTCTGACAGGAGGCCTGCAGGGCAGCCGAGGCTGCAGAACCAGAATGATGGGTTTTGGTTTCGGGGCTGGCATTCCTCCTGACGTCAGTGCAGGGATGACGGGACCTATGGGCCCCGACCTGTGAGCGATGTCAGACGCACAGCAGCATTCTCTCCGCGGGAGACGGTCTGCAAGGGGGTCAGGGGAGGTCCAGCCTTGCAGACGGGGCCCGGCACACAGGCGCCTCGTCTCCATGGCCTGTGAGCTCAGTGCCCACACATATCCCACGCTGTCAGGGCTGCTGGGCGTGGGCAGGCCTGGAGGGCCCCCATTTCTGGAGGAGCACAGAGCCCCTATGCCGGTGCCCTCTTGCTGCCCAGAGCCTCATGGGTATCTGAGACCACTGTGTATGCCAGCTTCCACGTCGGTGCTGGAGAAGCCCCCACACTGTCAGCCCTGGGGGACCCGGCGAGGCCCTGGAGCGTCTCCATAGGGCCCTCTGACCCTGCTCTGCCCTGCGGTGCAGGTCCAGTCATTGGGAGTGGATGCTTCTGTGGCTCCATAAAGATGTTCAAGGGGAGGCCTGTTGGAGCCCTCCCCTATGTGCTCCAGATCCCTCCTGTCCTGTCCAGTGGCCCCCACTGCCCCTCCCTCTACCTCCTGCTGGGAGCACATGCCCAGGCCTCCCAGCACCAGCTCCCTGCTCCCTCCTCCTTCTGGTCCAGAAATGAGACTTCTCTGATTTCACCTCTGCATTTCCCCACCCACTGCAGGCCCCCAACACGACCCATCAAACGCCCTACCACCAGGCAAGTTCTAAGGGATGTTCCAGTTCTCCTGTCTCAGGGCCATTGGGACCCTCTTCTAACACGTGCTCATGGGTAGAACCCTGGTTTGGGCCTGTCCAGTGACCTCACAGTCGGGAAACAGCTACGTAGCTCCCTGTAGCCTGTGACCTCCCTCCTCTGCTGGAGGAGGGGAATCCTGGGCCAGCTCTCCCTCTCCACTCTCTGCTGCCCCCCCCCCCCCACACACACACACCCGCCGCCATGGAAATGTGGGGAGGGACCCTGGTCTTGACCTTCTGTTGGGTCTGGACGCCCTGAGAACTCAGGGGCACCCACCTCTCCTCCCGACCCCCCTCACCCCAGCCTGGCACCTGAGGAGTCAGGCTTACCCTGTGGCCTCCAGCTGGGAGCATGTCCTCAACCCCTGGCTCTTGTTTCCTGTGGACCACGGCTGTGGGTGCGTGTACTCACACGAGGTCTGCATCCACCTGTGTAGCCAACTGGGACCCAGGGGAACCTCGAGACCTCATGGGGGTCTTCCTGTCCTGGTTTCTGGTACCAAGCTGGCCCCCAGGCAAGGGCCTCACGGATGCCCAGGCCAGGCTGGGTGTCCTTTCAGCCCGGGCGCCTTGCTGTCTTGGCTGGGGAAGAACTGGGGTCTGGAATCAGGCTGTCTGAGCCAGGCTCTCTGGGGCTGTGCTCCGCCTCCAGCACTGGGATCCTCGGGGAGCCCAGCCCCTCCCCCCCAGATGTGACTCATCCTGGTGTGGGGGGGCACGTGGGCATGGGCGGGTGAGAATGAGGTGAGGTGCATGTCAGCCCTGAGGCCTGAGCTCAGGGCTGGTTTCTGGGAGGAGCACGTGTGACTTGGAGGCTGGGAGAGGGGAAGGGGTAAGGAAAGGGACCCAGCACCCAACCACTTACAAGGCCAGCGGGTTGTCTGGACTCCTGCCTCCTGTCAGCACCGAGGAAACTGCTCGGCACCCTTGACCGGGAACAGGGCCTCCTGATGACAGCCCGAGTTCCTGTGATTCCTGCCCAATGGGTCACGTTTCCACGTATGGGGCCAGCCCATTTTTGTCATAGATCCTGTCCTGTGTCCACGGTGAGTGGCCCCAGAGTTGTTCTCATCCTGGACCCTGTGAATGTGTCCCTGGGACCCGGCCCCACTGGTGGCCTAGTGTCACCACAGGGCCTTAGAAACAACGCAGGAGGAAGACTGGGCGGGGTGGGGGCTGCCAGGAGACTGGCTGTGCAGGTGGAGGAAGGGCCAGTGAGGACAGGTCTCCGGGAGCTGAAAAGGCAGGAAGCAACCTCTAATAAATTCATAAGGCGTCATGATGCACTAAAAAAAAGAAAAAGAAAAGGCAAGAAACAGCTCCCCAGAGCCTCTGGAGGGCCCAGGCCCTGGGCACCTTGATCTCAGGCCCGTGTGGCTCAGACCTCAGACCTCACATCTTTGCATAATAAACGGCTGTTTTCTTTTTTTTAGTTTTTTTAAAAAATATATTTTTATTGATTTTGTACAGAGAGGAAGGGAGAGAGACAGTTAGAAACATCGATGAGAGAGAGTCATCGATCAGCCGCCTCTTGCACACCCCCTACTGGGGATATGCCCGCAACCAAGGTACATGCCCTTGACCGGAATCGAACCCGGGACCCTTCAGTCCCCAAGCCGACGCTCTATCCATTGAGCCAAACCGGTTTCGGCTAAATGGCTGTTTTCTGAGCTGATGGGAGAGAACACGCCGGTGCACCCGCTCTCCTGGGGCTGAGGGGGCAGGGGGTCCCCCGGTGGCACTGGGTGCTGGTGAGTTCCCCTGAAGCGTGTAAAATGCTGTTCTGTGTCTATGTGCATTTTTAGAAACAAGCTCTTAACTTTTATCAGAAGCCCAGAGTTAGGAACATGACTCCATCTGTGCAGGGGGGACTAGAGGGCAAGTGTGCTTTTCTCGATGATTTGCAAAGAATCGAGCTCTTTCCCCACCTCTCCCTGTCTCTGTCTCTCTCTGTCTCTGTCCCTCTCTGTGCCCCTCCATCCCTGGGGCATTTTCCTCTCCTATTTGCTGACTAATACGCCTGGTAACATGCTGCCCGAGAGCTCACGCAGGCCGCATGCTTTCAGGTGTGGCTTCTGGAACTGCTGGGCGGCTCCTGCCCACACCTGGTCTCACCTGTCCTGAGTCAACCCCTGGATCTAGACAGTGCAGGGCCCTCCTCCTTCGGTGTTCACCCATCCAGGTGGTGCCCACCCATCTCAGCGCCCCCTCCACTGGACCCACCTGTGGTTCCCCCTCCCCTCAGTGCCCTGGACTCTTCTCCTCATGGGCGGCCCCTCCTGAGCCTTCTCTGTCACTCTGGGGGACGTGAAGGATTTGCTTGGAGGATGCTGGCTGCAACCTCTTGCTGGGGCCCGAGATGAAGGCCGTGAGACATGGGCAGGGGCCTGGGGTGTACAGGATGGATCAGGGCAGCAGCTCAAAGCAGGACCACCCCGAGGGCGACCGGGCCCTGGCGTGACTGCAAAGCACAAGGCAGGTGCTCCGGGCCTTTCGTCACAGCTGCACCACGTGGGCAACAGGTCCAGGGCCAAGGGGAGTGCACGCTGGTAGAGGCCCTGCAGGGCCAACAGCTATAGCTCCCCGGGGGCTGACACAACCCCTGTCCTGAAGACAGCATCCCTCCTTCCCACACCGACGTGCTCTGGCTCCAGCGCCGGCTCCGGAGGGTGCGGGCGTGTGTGGCGCCTTACGGCCTGGCTGGGGGTTTCTTGTGTGCTGGGCACCAAGTCCAGAGCCTGGTCCAGGCTCCACAGGTTCTGGCCCCGGACCTGCCCACCCTCCAGCGGCCCCTAAGAACCAAGGGCACCCAGTGGGCAGCAGCCTTTGCAAAGAGAACTAAGAGAGGCCTGGCCGGGGGCTTA